GGCCACGCATGGGGCTGCAACCGGCGGCGCCAGAAGGCCCGCTGAACAACAACCGACGGGTCTTCACGGCTGCAGGCCTCAAGCGTAGGACTATGCTGCTTGAAGGACGGGTAATCTTATCACTCGTTCGTGCGGGGTGCCAACATCGGCGCTGTTGGTACTGGTAAATGCGTGCCCTCGCTCTGCGGGGCCCTCTCAAACCCCCCGTGCGTGTGATCATCTCCCCTCCCTCACCCTCCCTGCCTCCCACGAACCACCCCCAGGAGGGGCGCACCGTGTTCCAGCCGGGCCTGCTGGCGGAGGCCAACCGCGGGGTCCTGTGAGCATCCGCATTCAACAATCTGGGGAGAACTTCATCATGACTCATCAGCGTGTACCACAAGGCCTTTGCTGCACCACAAGATGCTTAGCATAGCCCGCAGTGCTGCAAATGGCCCTTCATCACCATAACATCAGCGCGGGTGATTGCAAATCATGCCGGCTGTGCGCAGTGACTGAAACCCATGGGATTTTCCGACTCCCAATCTGACCCTAAACCCCAAACCGCCCCCCGGCAGCTACGTTGACGAGGTGAACCTGCTGGAGGAGGGGGTGGCCAACCTGCTGCTGTCCATAATCAGCGACGGCATAAACTACGTGGAGAGGGAGGGCATCAGCGTCAGCCACCCGTGAGTGGCCGGCCACCGGGGCGCCGCGTCAATGTTGGCGGCGCTCAGCTGGGACGCGGCACGCGGGTGACGCACGCGTATGCCTTGCGACCATGTTTCTGTGATGGGGTCTGTCTGTGCACGGGTACGCGGGACAAAACTACCCCATTGATACCGGCACCCCCACCAGTTTTCTTCCAACGTGGCGCAGCAGCTGACCGCCTCGAAACCCCAAACTTCACCTGAATCCCCTCCACCTGCCCCCGGATGTCTCCAAACATGTGCCTGCCCAGCTGCCGCGCGCTGCTGGTGGCCACCTACAACCCTGATGAGGGGCCCCTGAGGGAACACCTGCTGGACCGCATCGCCATCACACTCAGCGCGGACGCACCAGGTGGGCAGCGCCGGTGTGGGTCTGGCATAACACACTCAGCGCAGACGCGCCAGGTGGGCAGCGCTGGGGTGTACATTGATATATATATCACAGCATGCGCCCGGCAGCGAGACGGGGTGAGGGGCGGCACCGGGGGGATGGGTGGCTGTGGCGTCCAGCAATGTGAGGACCAGCGATGCTGGGGGTTCATTGGGCAAAAGGCGGGTGTCGTGAGACGCATGCAGCAAGGTGGCTTTTCAACGCAGCGCTTGGGGCGCGCGCATCGCTGTCGTACTCGCAACCACTCATCCCTGGGTGCATCCTCAACACACAGCCACGTGGGAGGAGCGGGTGGAAGCCATTGACGCCGCGATGCGCTTCCAGGACCACGCCAGCCAGGTGCGGCCCACCGGCTGCTTTGCATGAGCCCCGCTTGGCCCCAGACTGCTGATTCGCGCTGCTTGAACTTAAGCTTGCTGAACCAGTCACGCGTTGCATCTGGATCCTTGCTTACCCCTGTGTCAGTTGGTCCTGATGTCAACCGTGATCGATTAGGATCAGGATTGTTGCAGCGTCTCGCGGCCGCCTGCTCCTGGAGCCATCCAGGCTCATCAGATTGACCATTGAACCACCAATCTTGTGTGACTGAGATTCAGGTGGCTACCGTGCGCCGCTCAAAGCAGGCGTGCACGAAGGCCCCCAATGCTGATGTTGGCCCCTCAAACCCCACCCGGATCCCGAAGGTGCTAGCGGAGACGGCCGAGCTGACGAGTGACCTGGCGAGTGCCGTTGTGATGGCGCGCCACTTCCTGCGGGACGTGAGGATCAGCGAAGACCAGGTGGGGGCGGCCGAGGGTGGGGGGTGTGTGCGGTGGGGCCGGGGTTACAAAAAAATTGCCTGGTGTTTCACGGGGAGGGTTGTAATCTGGATTTTGGCACTGCTGACTTCTGAAGCTAAGTGAGTTGCTGGCTAAAGGGTTGTGTTTCGGGGCACCAGAGTTTTCGCTCAGTCTTCATCTGAATGTTCCCCTGTGAGCCTTGTTGATGCCTCCAGAAGCGTCTTGTGTCGCATTGATGGCGATTGTGCCTGATTGCAATCGCCTGATTGATGACGGCCTGCATTGTAGCTGCTTGAGCTCTGTTGAGAAGTCAAAGCCCCCTGCAGTGCTGACGGGGTAATGTTGCTGCAACAGGCTGACTCGCCCGCTGACGTGTTGCGCCGACCCAGGTGCGCTTGCTGGTGGAGGAGGCGCGCCGCGCCGGCTGCCAGGGCCACAGGGCGGAGCTCTTCGCGGTGCGCGCGGCGCTGGCGGCGGCGGCGCTGGCGGGGCGCGACACCGTTGACCGGGAAGACCTGCGGGAGGTGATGACCTGGCGGGGCGGTTGATCAGTGCTGACCTGGCGAGGCACCTGGCGGGCAGCCACCTGGGTGGTCGTGCTGACTTGCCAATAGCTTGGTCGCCATGCATAAAAGATGACACGCACGCAGCCGCCATTCGCGAATGGCATGACACGGCAAATGGTAACAGCCAACTCTTCCAGCTGCCGCACACGTACAAGCTCGCTCACACACAGGCGCATGCACGCACAGAAGCACACACGCACGCATGCATGAGCATGTGCACGCGCGTGTGTGCAATGCCACACCAACTCTATCACCATGGACCTCACCCCCGCCCCCGCCCAAACCCCTTCGCACCTACCCAGGCGGTGTCCCTCGTGATTGTGCCGCGCGCCACACTGATGGAGCTGCCGCCAGACGAGGTCCCGCCCCCCATGATG